GGGCGTGCAGCTGCCTAGGAGGGAGTAGGTCGTGATGGAGTTTGTGTGGTTTGCGTGGCAGACTTGGGCGGCGGGCGTGAGGGGGCAGGTGTGGCGGTTGGCGGAGGCTATGGCGTTGCAGGAGGGGCATTTGAGGATGTGGATTGTGCACATTATGGCGATGGCGAAGGAGGGTTGGTGGAGTTGAGAAGAGGATACGTGGTGGTGAGTTATTGGGTGGGAAGTTGTGATGCTCTTATGTTGATGATGAGGTGGTTGATGGTCGAGGTGTTATGGTGAATTGGGAGGTGCGGCTGGGTGGTTGTGGTTGAGTGAATGAGTTGCTTGAGTTGGGATTTAGTTGGTGATGTTTGGGTTCTGGTGCCAGCTTGTGGAGGGTAATGGTGTGGTTTATGGGCGTTGAGGGAAGGTGCGATAGGTTATTCGCACCTGCTTCGTTGAACGAGGAACGTTCTCACGGTAAGGTTACTTGCGTTCTAAGCTGTTCTTATCAGCCAGGTTTAGATTAACCTAGGTTGCGACTTTGGAGAGGTAGCGAGAGCTTCGGTACTCCGGCAAGTCTTCGAGTCATCAGCGAACAAGAAGTGCAAGTGTCTTCGGTATCAAGCCTTCTAGTTGAACAGTGAGACTAGAATATAGCTGATTGATACATGAGCTTTCGCTATTGTTACTATCCTATTATGCCACGATCTATGGGCAGGTGTGGTTCTATGCTCCTACACCACTGGAGGCTACATTTTACAGTATGACTATATTTGCTTTCACAGAGACAACTCTATCGTCAACAGACCCTGTGCAATGAGTGAAACGTAGCAGCTGACGGCAAGAGGGCAGAGGGGAAGCAGAGACGCAGACTTTCAGGGTATCGACAACAAGAGTGGAGGTGGTAACAGAGAGGACAGTAGAAACAAAAGAAAATAAGTCGCAAAGCTGTAGGGGAACATAGTTTCTTTTCTTTTGGAAACGATATTGAAGTAGATCAGAGCAAACTGATAAACTAGTTGCTGAGTCCTGGAATTCGAATGCTTTGACGATGAACATCCGACTTCCGAACGTCGTTCCTGGCAATCATTAAATTTCTTTGTTATCTCATTCGAAACAAATTTTGTTGATTGTAGACAATATGAATACGTAGCCACCCTCGAATGCCACTCGTCTCGTTGAAGGTTGAGGCGCGCTCAAGGTTTGGCCTCTATATTTGGTTTCACAAGCCTGCTCTTATCCACCATAACCACATCAGCATCATCACCACATCCGAACGTTTTGACGCTGTGGTTCGAGACTTTGGCTTGACGGACCGAATGGGAGACATCAAATCTCTACATGAAGTACCCTGGGGGTCTTGGGTCTGGGGTTTCTCGCCTTCACGAGGAATTTACTTGAGAATTCAGTCAGAACTTTGTTGAACGAGTGGTGGAGCAAGAGACAAAGGCCCTTCCATTTCTTCATGAGAACAAGCTTCATCGTATAGGTGAGTACAACACCACGATTAAGTTATACGCGGAACTAACACAATATTTTTCCTAGACTCTACAACACGCAAGTTTCAGTAAGCCTGTGTAAAACCTTTCTCTCCTTCGCAGAGGACGGTGTTTATCAAGTCTTTTGGCATCCACGAACAAACCCGGTCTATCGACACTCGGATGGAATGGCAGCGCCTCTTGCTCCAGGCGGTTTGATGAGGATGGAAAGCCCACGGAAGACGACTTTCCAGCCAGGGAGTAATATCCTGATGAGCTTGAGATAAAGAATGCTGTGCAAGCCCCCGGCTGTTCGTGTTGATGGGGAGTATGTTACCGCCTATGCGAGCGAGTTAGGCAAGCTTTTGGAGGCATCTCGGAGGATCTTGGAGGATGGAGCGACGGCATCTTTGACCTGCCATTCAAGGTTTTCGGGTATGATTCCTTGAAGCGGCCTGCTGCTGAGGCAGGGTTGAGTCATCCATGATAGGACTCTGCTGAGACTACGCAGAGATTGAAGACTGGAATAAAAGCGGAGGAGCTTTGCAGCAGCCTTTTTTAGCCAGAGGCGTGTTTCTCTTGAATACAGGAAGCATTGCAATGATCTCTGCTCTTTCCAAACACAGTCCAACAAGTAGGATGATAGTTCAAGACACTCTTGGTAGACTTGACTACACATGCTTGACAGGCACATTGAATCCCTGCCGAGTGGATTGAAAGTATGCACGGTTGTAACCGACGGAGTCCCATTGAGTAGCAGGCGCCAGCCAACCTCCCGGCCGCTAACCGCAAGTTCCGCTGAGAGCCGGAAGTGAACTAAGATCCGATCGAGTGTCCAAAAACTAGTTCTGATCTACGCTCGGGCCCACCGTTCGCCAGCGCCGTTTCTGGGGGGAGCTAATCCCGGCACCGACCTTTAACCTCCGGACCCACTCGGATGTAGCGCCCGTGTCACGACCCGACTCGGAATTTGACTTACAACATCGGATTCAATGACAGGAGTTTGTGGAGAGTTTGGTAGCCGACATTTTCAGTCCGAATTAATTCAAAATACATATAAGACTGCTAGGGAGTGCGTATCTCGAAAACGGCATCACCATCAGCAATTCAATTGATTACCAAACCCTCCAAAAAAAAAAAAACCTACCACATTTGCCCATCATGTCTTTCGACCTCAGCAACCCAAACCGCAAGATCCACGCCGGCGTGATTTTGACCAAGGGGTATGTATTCAAGCCCCAAGATGGAGTTGACTAACGTGGCCACAGCATCACTGAGATGCTCGACGTAGCTCCTTTCGAATTCTTCCACTGCTTCCAGTGGAGCGGGGACAAGGAGACTGCAGCTGCTATGAACCTTCCTGCAAACACGATGGACGACGGACTCGAGTTTGAGCTGCACTGGGTCACTGAGGATGGCAAGCCGGCTAAGTTGGCGAGCAATGCTCAGATCCTGCCCACTGTAAGTCCAAGCGAGCCCCGCCACACGTCGTCGCAATCCAGCTAACAATGTGAAGGACTCCTTCGAATCTTGCCCGCCTCTTGACATTGCTCTCATGGGTGCTCATGACTTCAAATACAAGACAAGCCCCGCCGAGATTGCCTTCATCCGCAAGACTTTTGAGCAGTGCAGCGCATTCCTCACCATCTGCGGCGGCATGGTGCCTCTGCTTGAGGCTGGCATTCTCGCTGGAAAAACGTCCACATGTCCTCGTATGATGTTCGAGTTGATGAAGAAGACCGTGCCAGTAGTCAATTGGGTTGACAAGCGCTGGGCCCGGGATGGCAAGCTGTGGACGTCTAGCACCCTGCTCAACGGTACGGACTTGATTCGCGCTTTCGCCACGGAGACTTGGGGTGGAAGAACGGGAATGATCGAATTCTTCCTCGATGGGGGACACTATCCTGACAGAGATGTTGATTTCAAGGACTTCGAGGGGCAGAATTATCAGATGGAGCAACTTCCTGCCTGAGGCAGCACGGTCCTCGGTCAGTCGTGTTGATACATGGTTCCGGCAGCGGGAATCACCGGGGGGAAAGAGCCATGTAATCTTCCTCTGCTAGATTTAATTCAATATACATCTCGTGTTTCCCTATATCTGCCATTACTAACATTGCTAGAGACAGCTTTGTGGACAGAAGTAGAATGCCACGCGGGGATTTCTCGATCCATTTACCTACATTCACATGTGAGACGATGTTGATATTTCATTATTTGCTTGGTTACTTCACATATATACTCTTGGGCTTACTACTGCTGTTATGTATTTCGTCGCGTCATCGTCGTCCCTATTTGGCATTATTTACAGCCAACACGCACTCGGTTAGCTGGAAGTATGGGCCTTAGGTAAGTGCGCGCTGGGGCCTGTCGACTCTGAGACGAATCCGTTGCATATTAGACTTCAGTTCATCCGCATTCTGCGATATGATTTTTGTAGATCCGTATACGAGCGTCAAAGAGGCTTTCCGTAGTGTGATGGGTGTTGCAAAGCAAGGCCTCCAATCCGGGGGAAATGAGAAAATGGAGTTCCAAAGACGCAAAACCGACGTGTTCTCATTCTCGTGTGAATGAACCAATCAAATCAAGAGTAGTTTCCATCGCCTAGGAAATGTGCCGCAACGTCGTTGGCTCAGCGGTGCCAAACCCCGGCATTGCTACTCCGCCACGTCTTATGTGCATCAGTCCATTGGACTGTGTGGCCTGAACACCTCCACTGCTGGTTATCTTTCCCCAGCCGAAGCCTGATTCTGACGAAACCACTCACTCCTCCTCCTACATGGTTTGCATCTTACAGTCGGTTATCATCGAAGTTGCACGGCTTACCTATCCAAATCCAAGCACCACCGGTATCGACCGCTATGACGAACATTATCTCATATCCTTTGTCTGAATATTCCGAATCGATATCTCGTTCTGACCTTCAAGATGATGCCACCGATCAACAGGGTGTTTCTCTACCCGGTAGTCTTGGCGCGTCCAAGTCCAGTTCTGCACTCGAGAAGGATTCAGCATCCGGTCGCAGCAAATTTTGTTGGACCGACTCGCTTGAACGGAAACTGGTGAGACTTTACTTGTACACGACGCTTTCAGTTCCATCAATCGCCGAAATTTTGCGGAGCAAAGATGGACCCAACCTGTATGTATCGCCAGATCAGCGTCTTGCCACACAACACCGGACTGAAGCATGCATCTAGGAGTAAAGACCTTGCCCAAAAGAAGCTCAGCACGATGCTAGACAAGGACCCCAGATGGCTGCATCCTCGGAACCGAGAAGATGCCGAAAGGCGATTAAAGCTACTTCAAGAACGACTTGAGTCAGTACACGAGAGCAAACGCTGTATTCCAAAGGACGAGAATGTAGTCATCTCACCCAAAGGCGCGTTTTTGCATCACCGCTCTTCACCTCAGCCTCGAATGAAACTTGAAGAAGGAGATCACCGTCTAGAGCAATTACCACATCTAAGCTGTGCGCCCAGATCGCAACCGAAAGTCCCACTGGAAACACGGGAATTGCTTGAGAGATATTGTGGCAATAGCGGAATGGAGACCGAGTTCATTCTCGGGGAGATATCCATGGATAGCACTACCGTCGCTTCAGAGGAATGTCAGAATGCTCCAGACCTTGATGGGCTCGCCTTCAAGGTTATCAAAGCCGCTGCTGTGGCTCAGAAAGCTCACACGTCGATCATGGCTTCAGATATGCTGGGAGTTGATCTATTTCGAAAAGAGCAAGGTATCTGCATGGAGGGCACAGACGCCCACGACTACCATGAATGCCTTTGCAGCATGTACGCGACAGTCGTCGATAAGCACCTCTTGTGGGCTACACCTAACGGTCTTACTACTCAAGCCGAGAGGATTCTCAAATTTGGGCCGATCTTTGAAAGCGATCTCACTTACTGCGATGCCTTTGGAAACACACTGCTGCATTTTTTTGCCGCTCGGGCACACCCTGCACTCCTTCTTCGGGCACTGATAGAACACGACGGCTTGGCCAGGTGCCTTAATACGTCCGGCGAGAGTTTCCTTCACTGCCTCTCCAGGAAATGGTACGCAGGGGATGCCATTTACCTCCGCGTGCTGCTTCGTCATCTTGCTTCCGACAATAGTCCCAACAAGTTGGATGTCTATTCGAAAGACGTGTACGGCCGAAGTATTTTCCACCTGATGACTGAATCAATAATCAGCCATGAAACGCTTGCCGAGTTAATGGAGCTATTCGACTCTGATGTCTATGCAACAAGAGATGCGTTTGGTACAGTTCCGGAAGCAACACGATCACAGATACCGTCCCAGAATCATCATACAACAGACAAGCCAGATGAACTCGGTCCAGTCGATTATCAGGCCCGACTACGCGAAATAATCGACCGAGTCTACGCGTGCGAAGATAAAAGGGCTGAGAATGAGGGCGGCTGGAACGGTCTGCACTGTACTGCCTCCATCATCATCTCGCAAAACTCACTTCTGGCATTCCACAAGCTACCCAATCTGACAGGAGAACATCCGATATTGGGAAAGAAGTATAATCACAAGAAGATGGAACACGATTCCTCGACAAAGTTTTTCAAGAGGAGGGAAGATATCATGCTGGACCTGATAGAACTTGGAGTCGACGTCAACGCGTATGATGCCTTGGGAAACACTGTATTAATGCATTTCGTGGCGTATTTGCCGGAGGACGATGATAAAAAAACCCCGGTTAACATCATCGACCGAATTATCGAGTCAGGAGCTGACATACAAGCACGAAATCGCGTCGGTGAAACAGCTCTACATGTGGCGGTTCGGCTCGGCAAAAAGCTTGCAATGAAGACGCTGGTCGTCAAAGGAGCCAACGTCCATGCCAAAGACATCCGTGGTCGGACTCCCTTGAGAATTTTGGCCGATGAGATTCAAAAAGCAGGGAATAACTCTGTGACTTACGCGCATTTGGAGGCATGCTTCACATGGTTATCGGCACAGGGGGAGGCAAAGCTGCGTTCATCCGTGCTGGATGAGTGGGGTTGGTTTGGCTTACCAACTGGCCGGGGAGCGGGCAGAATGGGCTCAACAAGTTTGGACTTGTGGTACGACGAGTCCAATGCAAACTCTGTGATCAATTACAATGCAAGGGACAGAAAGAGCCAGAAGGTTCTGCAACAGCTGCGCGATGTGCTTGAAAAAGAGCCCAATGAAGAAGTCGGCAAGATTGAGTTGACGTGGCCTGAACGACCGAATGAAAAAGAAGAAGTTGACAGCTTAGATTGCGAGTACGAGGATGGGTGAATAATTAACCTTCCCATCTTTGACGCGTCGAGGTAATGCTAATAGATTTGCAGGCGTCGCGCAATCAACCGCCGTCCAGCCGTTGTGAAGATCGAGGAAAACGAAGACTCTATCAACACTTCCAACGTCTCTAGTCGTGAAGCCAGTCCCTCAATCGACGATATATGTGGTCTGGTTTTGAGCAATGCTTTTAACATATCCCTTAGCCAAGTTCCCCACCCTGAAGAGGCATGGGAAAGCGTACGCAGGTGTCTTGATGAACTTTCAGTCATCACGTCACTTTCACATGAGCATTCCCCTGGCCCAACTGAAAGTTATTTGCGAGTTGTCAACAACTATCCAAGAGACGTGAATCCTGAGCAAAAGGCGAGTGGAAACTCTCCTCTCCCTGACGACGGGCAAGCCGGTGTCACCAGAGACAGGAAGCGACGGCGGTCTGATGCATCAGCCGGGCCCTCAAAAAGAGGTGATAACAACAGCAACAACAACGATGATGAAAAAGATACCAATTGCCCAGAACATGGGTCGAAGACACGAAAGAAGGGCAAGACTCATGGTCGTTATACCTGCCCTTATCGAAAGCGCAATCCTCTGAGATTCAATGTACGTCAACACCCAAGTTGCGCGACCGTTGCGCATGATTCAATATCCTTGGTCAAGTAAGTCCTCGTGTTAAGATTGGGTAGCAGCTTATGAACGCACTGCTGATCCTTGATCAAGACGCCAAATTAGATTATTCCATCAGAGAACGGCAGCCAGTTCATTCGTTTGCCGGCGATGCCAAGAAACTTTCCCAACATCAGAAGCCCTTGACAACCATATCCGAGTGCCATCCGATCAGATGTGCATGATACGCGAGCAAGGAGTCTACAGTGTTGTCCATCATGACCCGGAGGATGGGATAACTACTGAGAAAGGGGTCAAGTTGGCGGATAGGAAATCACGGACTCAGGTTTTGGACTGGTCAACACTGTGGAAAGTTCTATTTCCAGAAGATGATACTGTTCCTTCAGAAGGTAGGTCAAGTTCTACCACATACCACCCCTTCGCAATTTCAAGCTTCATTACAAATGCTAGAAGATTGGCCTAAAATGCACAGAAACTAAAACGTAGTAGAGTTCGAGCCGGTGATTGAGCTTGATGAAGTGAAGCAGACTTTTGCCGACGACTCCGAGAGGTGCCAGAGCCTCGTGCATGATCTGAGTGGCAAAATCTGCCAATCTGCTGGCTTTGCGATCAGCTCCAAACCAGGTGAAAGGTACTGGAGACTGTTCCAAACCTTTGCCGACGACAATCTCCGAAGACACAACGTGTTACTGGCTTGTTCCCGGTTCCTGAACTCGAATCTCTCGAGACGCCCCATGAATAGTGAGGATGAGATCAGATCAAGGACGAGCAATACTGGAAGCAGCACTCACTTGTCCGGAATTCTTTTGCCTACACCGGAGTCAGTGCCCGGGAACCAACCTCCTCCAAGAAAGGCATCTGGAACATTGCAAGAGCTTGTCGTGCAAAGGGATTCAGGCCCTCAATGTTCCGAGCAGGCTACCAGAAATACGTATGGTACTGCCACGAACAGCGTTCAAAATTCCTCTGACGCAGCGAGCGCTGGGCAGAATTCACATATGAACGCATTTGATGGACGCCAAACATGCTCTGGAGTTTGCTTCACGGAGCCCTGTTCTTGTGATGCACTTTTAGATTGGAGCACTTATCCGTGGACTTAAGAAACGACAGATGCGAATATTGGAATGACCGCTATCGCTTAGACTTATCTAAATGCACTAATGAAGACGTCGATTTAATATTGCGAGACCAAAATGAGAGAGTTTTGCTAATTATTAATATATCTACCGTGAGGGTATCCCATCAACTGCTAGTGGATCACAGTATAAGGCGAGCGGGGTCCAGGCTAATTAACGTCCCACACCTACTTCCAGACCACCCCCACATCCAGACTACTATTATAACCCATTATGCATAGATAACAGTTAACCAACCTACTTAGGCGTTAGGCGGCTAGAATAGGACATTTATACTCTATAGGATCCTAGGAATAATAGGAACTTACTTAGGAATAGAAGAACTATAGTATAAATTATATAATAATAAGGAATAAGTATAGATAAGGGACCTATAATAAATACTTAGTAGATATTAGAATAAATACTTAGTAGATATTAGAATAAATACTTATCCTATTTTAGAATAAATATTTATAATAATAAAGGAAATAGTACTTATAAATAGTAAGACTATTTATATAAAAGGATTTATATATAAAATAACTTTAAACTTAGTTTATAGTTAGTAGAGATTAGAAAAAATATAATATAGATTAAATAT